ATAATTAAACTACGATGATGATTAATTAAACTACGATGATATAACTACGATGATAATTAAACTACGATGATACTACGATGATGATAATTAAACTACGATGATGATAATTAAACTATGATACTACGATGATGATAATTAAACTACGATGATAATTTAAACTACCATGATGATGATAATTAAACTACGATGATAATTAAACTACGATGAAATTAAACTACGATGATAATTAAACTACGATGATGATAATTAAACTACGATGATGATAATTAAACTACGATGATAATTAAACTACCATGATAATTAAACTAATGATAATTAAACTACGATGATAATTAAACTACGATGATAATTAACTACGTGATAATTAAACTACGATGATAATTAAAACTATGATAATTAAACTACGATGATAATTAAACTACGATGATAATTAAACTACGATGATAATTAAACTACGATGATGATAATTAAACTACGATGATTAAACTACGATAATTAAACTACGATGATAATTAAACTACGATGATAATTAAACTACGATGATGATAATTAAACTACGATGATAATTAAACTAAATGATTAAACTACGATGATAATTAAACTACGATGATAATTAAACTACGATGATAATTAAACTACGATGATGATTAAACTACGATGATAATTAAACTACGATGATGATAATTAAACTACGATGATAATTAAACTACGATGATGATAAACTACGATGATGATAATTAAACTACGATGATAAACTACGATGATAATTAAACTACGATGGATGATAATTAAACTACGATGATAATTAAACTACGATAACTACGATGATGATAATTAAACTAATGATGATGATAATTAAACTACCATGATAATTAAACTACCATGATGATGATAATTAAACTACCATGATAATTAAACTACCATGATAATTAAACTACCATGATAATTAAACTAACGCTGATGGTTTACACGGCTGGGGAGAACGAGGCAAAAAGGGGAGAGGGAGAGGGAAAGGGAGGAAGAACAATGACAGGAAGAATAAAAAAAGGGAGATTAGACTGATATCAAAGACAAATAGAAAAGAGTCTTTGATAAAGATGACGATAAACGGAAAATTATCATATACACATACGTACACACATAGACATGTCGCACACCCACTCGTGTGCACATACACACAGCACGTACTGTCATGCACATGACATGTACACACCACGTACGTTCACGGAAAATTTACATATACATGTACACGCACACATAGACACAGCACATACTGTCATGTATACACCATGTATGTTGACAGAAAATTTACATATACATGTACACGCACACGCAAAAACGTCACACACACACACACACTCCTGTGCACATACACACACACATACACGCATAGTTGTGTACATGCACCCACAAACACACACGACCCCCCCTCCCCCCCCCCCCCCCCCCCCCCCCCCTCCCCCGCCAACGGTACCTGCACCGCCATTCGTGATCGAGTTACTTAATGACATAATTACCCGACCAATCACAGGGCCGGAGACGGATCCTCTTAGGGAAGGAGAGGCATCTGTCGCCGCCTCTGATTGGTCGAGCGAATCCAGCGCATCATCGCACATCGGGCATGCAAAAAAAATGTGTTTACGAGGATTTTTATTTTTTTTTTTTTTCTGCATTTTTTTTTTTCTTTTTTTTTTTTTTGCGTTTAAATCTTTAATGACTTCCCGGTTGTTCTACAGTATAATGATTACCCATCTTCAACGCATGTCCTGTTACAGCGAGAGAGATAGAGAGAGAAGGGGTTAGGAGAGAAGAAGGAGAAAGGGGGAGAGAAGCTAAGAGAGAGAGAGAGAGAGAGAGAGAGAGAGAGAGAGAGAGAGAGAGAGAGAGAGGAAAGAAAGAGAGAGAGAGAGTGAAGAGTGAGAGTGAGAGTGAGAGAGAGAGAGAGAGAGAGAGAGAGAGAGAGAGAGAGAGAGAGAGAGAGAGAGAGAGGGAGAGAGAGAGAGAGAGTTAGGGAGAGAAGAAGGAGGGAGAGAACCTAAGGCGAGAAAGAGAGAGAGAGAGTGAGAGAGAGAGAGAGAAAGAGAAATAGAAAGAAAGAAAGATAGAGAGAGAAAGAGAGAGAGAGAGAGAGCGAACGTGCGAGCGAGAGAGCGAGCGAGCGAGAGAGAGAGAGGGAAATAAAACAAGAGAGAGGGAAAGCGAGAAGAATTGGAGAGAACGAAGGGTGAAGAGTGAAAGTCACTGTAAAACAGCCAGGAAAAGATACATATAAACCTAAACAGACACAATACAATATTATGAACCGAGAGGCTCGTATCCCTCGATCACGTGACCCAGATAATAGTGATGAAAATAAAAAAAAATAAAAATGATGTTTATTTTGTCATCTTCAACATTAATCATATTAGTGATTAAGATACTGGTTAATGGTTAGGGCAAATTAAGTATGTTAGACACCAAGGCCAGATAACACTAATGATAAAGATAGTGATTAATGATAACAATGTTAATAATAATAATAATATTAATAAACAATAATAATAATAATAATAAATATCAGTCGTTATATCGATGGTGTTTTTAATGATAATGATATAGACGATCAGAGTGATGATAGATAAAGAAAATAGTGAAAATACGAATAATAACATGAAATGGGTGAAATATTTGATGAAATGACTCATAAAGATCATGTAGTTTTATTTTATTTATTATTTTTTATTATTTATTTATTTATTTATTTTATTTTTTAGTGCATTTGTCTAAGTTCTGAGCCACAAAATTATAGTACAGTTATGTTTATGTTTGTCGAATAATTAAAAGAAAACATATTGCTGCAAGATATTAAAAATAGAAAAAAAAAAAAAAAGTATGAAGCCTAGTGGTTTCCGAGACAGTTTAAGCATCTTATTTTTAGGCCAAAGAGCCAATCACAACCGCCGGATTCCCACGGGGTGAGTTCTGATTGGATGATTAGGAATGGGAAAAAAAAAGACTGTGAGAAGATGGCAATTTTTTTTTTTTTTTTTTTTTTTTTTTTTTTTTTTTTTGGGGGGGGGTGCATGTGCCTGAGATTATCGCTAAATAAAAGTCCGTGCAGAAGTCTATCATTCTAATTCGCGTGATATTTTCATGGGAAAACTGACAGCGCGGTTATTTCATTTTAGTTCACGATGTACAGTGCACAGAAATGGAAAAATTGTATGATAATATCAAGTCAAAAAAAAGAGATGAACTCAAAATCACATGATGGTTTTATTCATTTATTTTATTCATTTATTTATTTATTTATTTATTACGGAACAGCCAATTACACGATCATTAAAAGTACGAAGCAGGAAATTGTATTTTTATTAGAATTTGTATGATTTTATATATATTTTAAACAAGATTTTTTTTTTTTTACAATATTCNCAATGGGCGCCAAGAAAGCGTTAGAAGGGAAGAGAGAGAACGCCAGAAGAGAAGAAAGAAAAATTAAAAGATTCAAAAATATATATGTATATATTTTTATTATTGTTCTGTGTGTGTGTGTGCATAGATGTATATGTATATATATTTCTTTCTTTCTTTCTTTCTCTTTTTTTTTCTCTCTCTCTTCTTTTTTGAGGGAGCAAAAAGAGGGAAACCAATGGTCTGCGAATAAAATATGCAAGAACAAAGGAAGAGGAGAAGAGGCAGAATCCAAAACCATACTGATGCAAATACAGATACATGCATTTATGTATGAAATCAGCCGCCCGTACAAAGTAACAGGGGGTTGAGGAGCAAAGGTCACGGGAGGTCATACACGCCCACATGCGTCTTAACTCTCGCGGGTCGGCTGTCGAGAGCAGGGGATCTTAAGCCTGGGGTCCTTTAGGTAGGGCCAGGGGGTCGGAGAGTCTTGGATAGGTTTCAGGAGGTAAGGAGTTCTGGATAGGTTTCAGGGGATCGGAGAGTCCTTGGATAGGTTCCAGGGTGTCTGAGGAGTCCTTGGATAGGTTTCAGGGGGGTCGGAGAGTCCTTGGATAGGTTTCAGGGGGTCGGAGAGTCCTTGGATAGGTTTCAGGGGGTCGGAGAGTCCTTGGATAGGTTTCAGGGGGTCGGAGGAGTCCTTGGATAGGTTTCAGGAGGCTAAGGAGTTCATGGATAGGTTTCAGGGGATCGGAGAGTCCTTGGATAGGTTTCAGGGGGTCTGAGGAGTCCTTGGATAGGTTTCAGGGGGTCGGAGGAGTCCTTGGATAGGTTTCAGGGGGTCGGAGGTCCTTGGATAGGTTCAGGGTCAGGAGTCCTTGGATAGGAAGGGGTCGGAGGAGTCCTTGGATAGGTTTCAGGGTGTTGAGGAGTCCTTGGGATAGGTTTTCAGGGTGTCTGAGGAGTCCTTAGGTTTCAGGGGGTAGGAGTCCTTGGATAGGTTTCAGGGGTCGTGAGGAGTCCTTGGATAGTTTCAGGGGGTCGGAGGGAGTCCTTGGATAGGTTTTCAGGGGGTCGGAGGAGTCCTTGGATAGGTTTCAGGGTGTCTGAGGAGTCCTTGGATAGGTTTTCAGGGGGTCTGAGAGTCCTTGATAGGTTTCCCTTGGAGGTTTCAGGGGGTCGGAGGAGTCCTTGGATAGGTTTCAGGGGTCGGAGGAGTCTTGGATAGGTTTCAGGGGTCTGAGGAGTCCTTGGATTAGGTTTCAGGGGGTCGAGGAGTCCTTGGATAGGTTTCAGGGGGTCTGAGGAGTCCTTGGATAGGTTTCAGGGTGTCTGAGGAGTCCTTGGATAGGTTTCAGGGGGTCGGAGGAGTCCTTGGATAGGTTTCAGGGGGTCTGAGGAGTCCTTGGATAGTTTCAGGGGGGTCTGAGGAGTCCTTGGATAGGTTTCAGGGTCGGAGGAGTCCTTGGATAGGTTTCAGGGGGTCTGAGGAGTCCTTGGATAGGTTTTCAGGGGGTCTGAGGAGTCCTTGGATAGGTTTTCAGGGGGTCGGAGGAGTCCTTGGATAGGTTTTTAAGAGGGTCGGAGGAGTCTTGGATAGGTTTTCAGGGGGTCGGAGGAGTCCTTGGATAGGTTTTCTGTCTGAGGAGTCCTTTGATAGGTTTCAGGGGTCGGAGAGTCCTTGGATAGGTTTTCAGGGGGTCGGAGAGTCGGATAGGTTTCAGGGTGTCTGAGGTTCCTTGGATAGGTTTCAGGTTGGTCCTGAGGAGTCCTTGGATAGGTTTCAGTCTTGGAATAGGTTCAGGGGAGTCAGGAGGAGTCCTTGGATAGGTTTCAGGGTGTCTGAGGAGTCCTTGGATAGGTTTCAGGGGGTCGGAGAGTCCTTGGATAGGTTTCAGGGGGTCGGAGGATGTCACTTTCGGACCTTGGTTACAGGGGAGTCGGAAGAGTCTTGGATAGGTTCGGTTCCAGGGGGTCTGAGGAGTCCTTGGATGGGTTTCTAAGGAGCCGGACAGGGTGGAAAGACCTTGGATAGGTTTCAGGGGGGTCGAGAGTCTGGATAGGTTTCAGGGGTCGGAGAGTCCTTGGAATAGGTTTTCAGGGGGTCTGAGGAGTCCTTGATAGGTTTCAGGGGTTGAGGAGTCCTTGGATAGGTTTCTCAGGCCGGACGGAGGAGACCTTGGATAGGTTCAGGGGGTCTGGGAGTCCCTTGGATAGGTTTCAGGGGGTCGGCAGAGTCCTTGGATATAGGTTTTCAGGGGGGTCTGAGTATAGTCCTTGGGATAGGTTTCAAGGGGGTCGGAGAGTCCTTGGATAGGTTTTCAGGGGGTCGGAGAGTCTTGCGATTAGGTTTCAGGGGTCGGAGAGTCCTCTGGATAGGTTCCAGGGAGGTGGTCGGAGGAGTCTTCCTTGGATAGGTTTCAGGGGGTCTGAGGAGTCCTTGGATAGGTTTCAGGGGGTCTGAGAGGTCTTGGATAGGTTTCAGGGGGTCGGAGGTTTCAAGGGGGTTCGAGGGAGGTCCTTGGAGGAGTCCTTGATAGGTTTCAGGGGGTCTGGAGGAAGTCCTTGGATAGGTTGCAGGTTTCTGAGAGGGCCTTGGATAGGTTTCAGGGGTCGGAGGAGTCCCTGGTTTTTAAAAGACTCGGAGGAGTTCCTTGGATAGGTTTCATGGGGGGTCGGAGGAGTCCTTGGATAGGTTTCAGGGGGGTCTGGAGGAGTCCTTAGATAGGTTTTCAGGGGGTCGGAGGAGTCCTTGGATAGGTTTTAAGAGGGTCGGAGGGAGTCGGAGCCTAGTGCGGTTTCTGAAGGATGTCCTTGGAATAGGTCTAGGGTGTCTGAGGAGTCCTTGGATAGGTTTCATGTTTGGTCGGTAGGGAAGGAGGTCTGAGGCGTGATAGGGTTCAGAGGGTCTGAGAGTCAGTGGTGACTACAAGCAGGAGAGAGGTAAGGAGAGTGACGGGCATGAAGCCTATGGGACGGTGAGGAGATAGAGGGGATAAACCAGGGACGTTAGCTGGGTGTGAGAGGGCATTACCTTGGAGGGTCGAGCTAATGTTACTAGGGGTGGGGGGGGGGGTTGCCTCGTTTATGCGGTTGTCATCTATTTCCTTCTTAGGGATAATTAAGCGTTCGAGTCACGCTTGCTGTTTTCTGGGAGGGAGGGGGGGCGGAGAGAGGAGGGAGGAGGGGGGCGGGTGCGGTCGGGAGGGGCTGGAGCCTGGGGAGATATAACGTAGAGGCTCGATGCGGTCGAGTAGCGAAACGAGGAGGACGGTGTTGAGGCTAGGGGAGTTGGGGTTTCGGAGAGGAAGGGGAGATGATGCGGAGCGAGAGACGACGGGGGGGGGGGAGTGGGAACAGAAGGAGGGGTGCCTGGAGGAGGGTTGAGGGAGAAGGAGACCAGAACAGGCTGCAACCGCGCACGAGGGCACAGGAGTAAGGAGAGGGGCGGGCTAGGAGGGGAAAGAGAGCTAGGAAGGAAGGGAAAGGAGGACAGAGGGAGTAGGGACAGCACACGAAGGAAGGAGGAGCTGAGGAAGAGCGGCAAATGATGGACTAGAGAGAGGGACATGGAGAAGGAGGATGCCCTGGAGAGGCCAGGGGAAGCACCTGGACGTGAGGGATGTAGGCGACACGTAGGAAGAAGGGAAGATGGGGAGGAAGAGGAAGAGCGCAAGGCGCGCTAGTGTTGGAGAAGCAAACTGGAGCCTCTGTCTTGCTGTTGGTTGACGGAAAAGGTGTTACTTTATGAACAAACTGGTGGGACGGGAAGGAGAGTGAGAAAGATTAATGGATAGATAAATTTGGGGAGAGGGAGGAAGCAACGAGAAAAGAGAGAGAAGAGATGATAGGAAAGGATAGAAATATAGAGATTAATGAAAAAAGGAGAGAGAGGTAGAGACAGATAGATAGAGAGAGAGAGAGAGAGGTAGAGATTGAGAGACAGATAGATAGACAGATAAACAAACAAGGAGGTGAAGGAGGGAAGGAGATGAATTGAAGTAAATAAACACAAACAGAGAACGAGGTCAGTAACAGAGGGGAAAAAAGAAAGCGTTAGAGAAAGAGAGAGAACTGAAGAGAAAGAAAAACAAATACAGAAAATTTAGAAATGTACATATACATGAGTGTGTGTGTGTGTGTGTGTGTGTGTGGTAGATGTATATGTATATATATTTCTTTCTTCCTTTCTATTCTCTTTTTTTTCTCTCCTCCCCTTTTTTTTTTTTTTTTTTATTTTTTTTTTTAAGGGAGAAGCAAGAGAAAATAATGGCGTTGAATAGAAATATGCAAGAAAAAAGATAGCGAAAGGCAAGGAATCCAAAACCATACTGATGCAAATACAGATACATGCATTTATGTATGAAATCAGCCGCCCGTACACAGTAACAGGGGGTTGAGGAGCAAAGGTCACGGGAGGTCATACACGCCCACATGCGTCTTACTCTCTGCGGTTCGGCTGTCGTAGAGCAGGGGATCTTAAGCCTGGGGTCCTTAGGTAGGTTTTTGGGGGTCTGAGGAGTCCTTGGATAGGTTTCAGGGCGTCAGAAGAGTCCTTCGGATAAGTAAGACCTACTTATAAAGACGTTCATTGATGAGAGTAACTCATCGTCAATTTTATTCTTTCTCTCTCTCTCTCTCTCTCTCTCTCTCCTCTCTCTCTCTCCTCTCGGTCTCCTCTGTCTGTCGTTTTCTTCGGTCGTCTTCTCTTTCGTCTGTCCATACTATCTATCTATCTATTTATCATCTATTGTCTCCCTCTCTTCTCCATCTGCTCTTTCTTATCTCCTTCGCCTCGCTTGGTTCGCTCGTTCTCATCTCTCAAATATATCTTCTCTCTCTCTCTCTCTCTCTTAATCTCTACAATCCACTAACATAATTATCTTCTCATCTCACCTCTCTCACTCAGAATACCACACACATCTCAAAACTTCTCAATCCTCAAACTCCTCTCATCACATTGCTTCATTTCTCTCTCACAACAAAAACAACCTCTCATACTCTCTCTCT